ATATATATATATATATATATATATATAGATACATAGATTGTGTTAAAATTCTCGTTTGTCTGTGCACGATTTGGTTGACAAATTAGAATTGCCATATACAAACACACAAGAATGCTACATGACAGGACAAATGCAAGATTTGCTTCACCAATGATAAAAACAACAAAAGTAAAAAAGATTATAATATAAGAAAATAATTTTCTTCTCTATATTTCATTTTCTGATAAATCTTAAATAAAAAATGAAACATGGTAAATTAATAAATGTTTCCTATTTTTCCTTACCCTATCATCTATCTGTTGGATTCTAATCCGTATTTTATCTATAACTTATTCCAATCTTATTTCACGCACAGGCACGCAACCCCCATGTATATAAACCTGTTTCTCACTGTCGCTTAATAATTATGGTTCACATATAAAAGTGACAGCAGCGGTGTTAAACCATTGTATCAGTCAAAGGCGCTCCTTGATTAGTATGTTGACTCTTTCGAAAATATTTTTACTAATTTTACATTTTCCGGTCTCGTAGGGTTGTTGTCCCTGGTGTAACTTAGTTTAAATGTCCGGTTAATGGTTCTTGATGGTTATATGAGGTTCTTTTTGTACAGAATTTGCTAACCCTGTCACTAATTTTAAGTTTGTCCGTAATTATTTTGCAAGTTTCATTTAGTCTGTCAACAATGTAAACTAATTTATTTTCTCCTTTTATATAATTTTTTTTGTTAATTTTCTTTTCTTAAATAAAGTATTATAATCTTTCGTAGTGATTTTGTAGAAATTTGCTGTTTTCTCAGACTTTACAAACACTTTTTAAAATGAATTTTCATTTTCCTATTTTAGTATAGATCTGAATTTTAATTGGTTAATCCACACACGTCCACAAGTTTATATTTTAATTTTGACATTAGGATTCCCTCCACACACTTTTTTTTTAACTATCAAAATAGGTAACGATTTATTTGCAAATTTCCCAAATAAATCATTTGTGTTATTTGTTATCAACCATCACCGGATGAGGAACGGCTAAAGTTCCGAAACATGAAAGTTTTTTTTTTTTATGTGGCGATGTAAAATGTTTTTATTGTAATCTATTATAAGAAAATAATTTACTATTATTATATTTTGCCGTACTTTGTATATTAGTTTTCTTGGCAGTAGTCAATCCCAAGACTCTAAACATCTTCAAAAATACCAACATGTATTTTGAATATATTAGCAGATATTCAATGTTCTTCTGTATAATGCCCCTTTTCTACTGTCTTAAACGACTTTCTAATTCCATTTTTAAATCGTTCCTATATCATGCATTCTGTCGGCGATCTTTATGATAAGTGTGTCCCACCCTTTTTTCCCATTTTAGTCTAGTGGTTGCTAAAATAATAATAAATAAATAAAATATCAGTCAATGGGTATTAAATATTTCTTCTAATGTTTGTATTGGTGTTCCTGTTCATATGTTGGACTGAAGCGAGTAAAATAGATTCTGGCTTTATTTCGTAAGGTGTTGTACTGTTTTAAGCACGAAAAACGCTAAGATTCACAAAAAATAAAATGAATTAATGTCGATTTTGAGAAAGTGTAGCATTTTTGTTTAGATTTAGAAAAGAATTCATTTCTTTCCGCTAAATCCATTTCCATTTTATTATGTCTTTGCACGTCTTCCGTTATGGTTTTTGAAAAGAGGAAGAATGATTGGTTCTTCGAAGCGAAGAATAAAAACATTTCTGTCCTTCCTTTGAGATCCGCTGCTTCACTTCTTACCTACTGGAACGGAAAAAAAAAACAAATTGAATAGACAAAGAGGTTTTTCCCTTCTACTAATTCGACTCTCATTTGATTAGTACGTCCTGTTTTATTCTTCATGAGCGAACAGAAAATGCTTCTCAACAAAATTAAGTAAACTCGTCTACCCTCTATTTCTTCGTGTTTGCGACAGAATAAAATTGTTCGTCAACATTTTGGGATTACTAGAATATATTTTTTTGATCTTTATATTTTTTCTCCCATTTTCTAATCAATTTTGACCACTTTCTATTCTGTGTAGCTTTGGAGAAAAGCATTTACCAAAACCAAAAATAAAAAAAGAAAACGTGTATTGAAGGAGGTTTCAATAAGAGTTAACATTAGCAACAAGCAAATTGGAATCGGTGAAAGGAATTCAAATACAAACTGAATAAAATTTTTCGCCTTAAATACATCTCTTCTTCGTTCAGCGATAGGTTAAATAGTTCAGCAGTATCGTGCAATGAATAACGCGTGGAATAAGAAGTTCGAAAGCCGAGTTCGAATTCCAGTCGGGTTCGTTACATTCACTTACGCGCAATTAGCATTGGGAAAGGTATAAAACCCCTCTCCCTTTAGCTATATGTTGAATAAAGATATAGGACTTGAATTTATAATTTAAATAGGACACAGGGCAATTGGTTGGCGCCCGATCTAAAAGAAGGACAACATTCAATTCAAAACAGTAGAGAGGGGAACTTAAAGACAGATACACGACAAGAAATTAATCTCTGCGTATTGTGATGGTCAACGTGCTAAAGAGACATTAGAGGTTGATGAGAATGGGGAGGTTTCATTATTATTTGTGAATGAAGTCGATATATAAGATACCAATATTTGCCTGCCAAGGATGAAGGGATTTTCCCCTGGACCCTTGATATTACGCAACTTTTCACTGTCTATTCCATCGTAAAATAAGAAGGAGTTTAAAGTTCCACCAATTCATGCAGGAAATTCTCCATGTTGTAAATGTATGGGAAATGATTAAAAACAGTAGTTTTGATCGAAAAACTGGTTTGCCATTTCCATAACCCCAAATCCAAACTAGTAAAATTTCAAAACCACGAATAACACAGTGATTTTTCTGCAGTTATGATGAATGGTTGCCCTCTCAAGAAAGGCCCAAAAAGGACTACGACGCAGTGGATTAACGAGTGTTAGAGAATAAGATAAAAAAGAACACTATTAAGGAGAGAGAACAATGAAAGGACAAGAACTGAAAAAAACAAAGGATAACCAATTAAAGTTCTCAGAATAAATCTGTAGAGAAGACAAAAAAAAAGACCTTCAGAAAATATTACTTTGTACTTGCCGACGCATTTCGTCATTTGATTTTATCAAGACAAGTAATGCTAAACAAAAGAGAAATCGGAAGAGAGTTCCACAAGCGATACGTGCGATAAAAAATATAGTTAGTATAAAGCTTGTATTTACATCTAAAAATTTAATCTACAAAAGAATGAGACCTATCTGCCAATCTAGTACTGCGCGTAAATTAGTAATGTAGAGGAACCAAAAGAAACACTCACCATATAACGTTATATAGTTATACATTCTGATGCAGTTTGAACACTTTGTGCAGTAAATGCTCTTTTTTCTAAACGTTATTCTACACATTTAACTAAATTAGGCAATGAATTCTCTAGAACGCAAACGGTTACTGAATGTTAGAAAATATTATAAAAAACTACTATTAAAAGAAATGGAATATAACAAGACAGAAGATAACGATTGATATTGCATTTAAATTTATGAAGATCAAACTTGATGGGAAGCCGTAAGGTAGTTCAACAAGTGCGATAGAAGAACTTATTAGCATAGAATTTTACATCGTTACATGTAGCCATTTTAACGGTAAAATAATGAGACCTTGCTGCCAATCAAGTTCTGCGCTTAGATTCATAATGTCTACATACCATAGAGAAATTTTATGGTAATGGAAAAGGGACTGAAGACGAGATGCCTTCTCAGGACAAATAATATGGCAGATTATTCTTCGAGTTTTATCTAGAATCTCTAAATATATAAAAAAGAGCATCGGATCAAATGTGGCAGCAATATTCAAAGCAAGTACGAATCGTAGACTTAAAAATACGTACAAAAGATTTGAATAAGAAACATTGTGTAACACGACACAGTGAACTAACTTTCCTAGGAGCAGACCTACCAGTTGATTCAATCTAATCTTTCCACTTCATGTCCGGAGAAAATGTTAGTTCAAGAAGACGCAGTGAACCACTAACTGTTCTCTCAGATGATTAAAGGAGAGAAGTTTCGTTTTGCAAACTTTCGGAGGAAAAAAGATCCTATGCTTTTGAAGTCCATTGGGCCTCGAATTAACTCTAAGCATCAAGTGAAATTCAAATATAAAATTTATTGCTAAAGAACCATGTCTCGATTATTTTTAACCCTGTATAATAATTTTCTCTTATTTAAAGTGAAAAATGATAAAACATAAAAAATAACCAAGGGGCGCGTCAAACTTTTGAAATGTAATATATATATTATTTAAAGACATTTTTATGTTTAACATTCTTTTTACAGATACAAGTATTTTAGTAAATGTTCTGTTTATAATAAACAGTATTAAATAACATTTACCGGCCTGAATGTCCGAGAAATTTTCATAGAAAATATTCCTCCTTTGACAGGATTTGAACCTACATCCTATACGGACGTGCCTTACCGCTCGGCCACAAAGGATCGTTCGATTGGCAAGGTCAATTTATTGCTTATAAACTTCAATATATATATATATATATATATATATATATATATATATATATATATATATATATATATATATATATATATATATATATATATGTGTGTGTGTGTGTGTGTGTGTGTGTGCGTATGTATATATGGTTCTGTAGAGAAGAGAAAATGAATAAAATAAACAATCGTAAAATAGTATTTAATCTTGACCGATGCATTTCCTCATTTGATATATATATATATATATATATATATATATATATATATATATATATATATATATATATATATAATCGTGCATGAAAACCTAAGCAATCAATGGGTTTTCTAGTCCTACACTATCGCTTATTAATTCTTTAACCATAACAACAACAACTTTAGAAATGTAGTAGATCCTTTTTTACGCTACTTGCATGGCAAATATTCAGGGGCGTTCGATTTAGTATTCATGACCTGCTTGGTAACGTAAACAGTCTCGAATCATCTTCATTCTCGCTTCCGACCAAATCACGTTGAAACACCGTCTCCCGTACGATCACCGAAATCAAGCAACGTCGTGCCTGGTTAGTAACTAGATGCTGGACCGCTTCTGAATATCAAGTGCTGTAAGCTTGGATGTGAGGGTGGGCTAACGGATAATGACACGGAATTGTTAATCGGAGAGCCGAGTTCCAATTTCAGCTGGGATCGTTTTATTCCCCGGTGCTTAAATACTCTTGAGAAAGATATAAATCCATCTCTACTCCCTCAGCTATGTGTTAATTAGTAATACTTGTATAACTTCACTGCCTTAACCAGGAATTGAACTGACCTTCTTTGGATCTGTCACTGGATCTAACCAACGCCTTTATCCACTGTGCCATGTGCCCTTGAGGTTAGATCCTGGTTAAGGCAGTGGAGAACTTTCAGAGGGAAAATTAGCAGGAGATAACTGATAACTGACATCCATCAAACATGGCACGTGGAACTAGAACAGTCTACCCCAGTGATCGAAATAAAGGGTTCAGTTCGAAATTCCAACCACCTGAAGAAGGCCGGAGCGTACAACGGCTGAAAACGTTGTGACAAATATGGCGACAAAGATGAGGACAATAGTCCGACTAATGTAAATACTGTACTTTCAAAATATTTAGATTTCGGCATTAAATAACCTATAGGTGTGTTGATATGACACTAAATAAAAACAAGCAACCATATATATTCCCTTCGTATTCCACTGATAAGAAGGTTTCATTCTAACAGAGACAAGAAAGCTGTTTCCCCAATTGCTACAATTTTAACCTATTTTCCATATCCTAAAATATTTACTTTCTATTTCTCCATCTTCCTTTCCTAGCACACGCTTCTCATTCTGTGTTCCTCTAACCTGAGTGGCTCTTGGGCTCGTATTGGTGAACATTGTGCATCCTCAAAACTCAATGTAGAGCCCAGCAACTCAATCCGACCAAAGACATTTCTGTTCATGTCTTCTCAGTGATTGTCCGTATTATTGCATTCTATCGATTTTCAAGGCTAGATACAAAAATGGCGAGTGTGGATAACTTTAGCTTTTTATTCTTGATTTATGCTTAAATCATGAATTGCCAATTTTTCAAGTTTAAGCATTTGTCCAAATACTTATACGTGCCGAGGAATACGTGAATGACTTGAATTGCATATTTTGTAGTTAATTCTTTAACCATAGCAACACATTTAAAAAAAAAAAAGGAGGTCCATTTAGACGTCAAGAGTCAGCCTACACTTAACGTACCTTTTAAGAGAAAACAATATTTTTTTAAAAACTTCAAAATTTCTTTAGGGCAATCTTTCGGTTAAAAAATCAATTTATAAATTCTATGAATATTTCAGATTTCTTTTCAGTAGAATAACTGCAATACAAACGGAAACACACACATACGTGTATATATATATATATATATATATATATATATATATATATATATATATATATATATATATATATATTCGTTAATGAAACTTTAAAAAGTATCAAATATACACGAGTGTAGTGCTAGTTTTTTTTGTGACCAATTTTCACACCAAATAGCAGGGGCACCCTATACATTAGTAATTTTTTCTGAAGATTTTCTGTAATGAATGTATTTTCGGTGATTTTTGCAATGGGGTTAAAAATTTAGGCAAATATTTCAGGAGTCGCAAAATGCATGAACAGTGTGTGTGTGTGTATCTATGTGTGTGTATCTATGTGTGTGTATCTATGTGTGTGTATCTATGTGCGTGTGCGCGCAAAACAAAATTTTATATATTTTTCTCAGTGAATTTCCAAATCGATATTATATAATTGTACATAGATTTATTCAACCACAAATGGCATTTTATTTTACTGTTATTCCGACAGTGTTGTGAAGCATTTATAATTCTTTCTTCCCATAGCTTGGAATATTTGTGGTTAATGACCTGTTTTTATTGGTTTGTTTAGGCTTTCAAAAGGACTGAAGATAAACCTTTCAAAACACTAACTTGGTTCATGAATTTAAAGGAAAGCATTTTGACACCTGTATTGAATCCGTCCGAAAATGCAGAATGGGGAATTAGTAAATGCTAAATATTTCAAATACCCTGTTGCATGGATTAGTTATATGAAATCATCCTCTCTCAGACATCTAACCCCAACATCGAGGTTATTATAGTTTAGTGTCGCCTCCATTTTGCCGGTCGCATGTCCAGAATGCGTACCACTCAACTAACACGTACCATTCTGTTTGGAGGATTCGACAGTGGTAAGATGCTAAGCGGAAAACCCAAATGGAAGCTTCAAGGAACCGTTGAAATCATCCCTTACAACGGCCAACATAAACCCTGAGATCCGGGAAACTAATGCTGCAAATCGTCCTTCCTGGCATAGGAAACAGTTGGGGAGGGAACGAGATTTTCTAGTTCACTCGTCAACATGAAGAGAAAATGCGACGTGCTGTCAGGAGGGCACCGGCCCCGTCCAACACTCACACTACTGTGTGAATCCTGCTCAGGAATCTTCAAGAGTAGGCTGGGACTTCACAGTTATCTCTGCCACCAGCACTAGGGTGGTGGGTAGAAAAGGAATACGGAGATAGGATGATGCTCGGATGCGATTAGGTGCCAACTAAACTATAGGAGATAAGATAATTGAAAATACTTTGGCCCAACACCCCACATTTAATCATAAACCTTAAAAAAGACGTAAACGTCGATTCTTATTCTTGGAACCGGTATACTTTAACAAGGATCATCATTCTCCCAATCTTGTAGACTGACGCAACAGAATCGCAAAGAACATTACCAAATAACAGGAATGGACTTTCAACAGCAGCAACAATTAAAATGGATAACGCATGTAACTCGAAGAATAAATAATAGCATAATCATGATTTTAACCTTCCACACTACTTCAAACAAAAGGTTAGGAAGGAAACTCTCATCCTAATATTGAAAAAGCGATAACAGTGAACAGGTGAAACCCATTTTCCTATAAATCTCCTATATAATATAATTTCCTATATAATTTCCTTAAAAATTGTTGTAAACTGACTGTTTAGATATTTTTGTTACAAGCTGGACACCATTCAGGACAATACTATTTAAGTGTTTCTGAAGTGCGAGTTCTTGACATTGCAAGTTGATTAGCATTTGCTCGCTGGTTGATAATCGTAGCCATCTTCATTATCTTCATCCGGGTTCATTTGAAAATTGTCGCCATGGTTTCAAGGAATTAATGCATATATGAATTCTATGTCGGAATTTCTCTTATATGTTGGAAACAGCAACATCTAAAGCTGATCGAACATGAAAAGAGAATCTGTCTATATTTCTGAGATGAAGTATTATATACATTATTTACATTATTCGGACTATTGTCCTCATCTTTGTCGCCATATTTATCACAACATTTCGGCCGTTGTACGCTCCAGCCTTCTTCAGGTGGTTGGAATGTTGAACTGAACCCTTTATTTCGCTCACCGGGGTAGACTGTTCTAGTTCCACGTGCCATGTTTGATGGATGTCAGTTATCAGTTATCTCCTTTTAATTTCCCTCTGAAAGTTCTCCACTGCCTTAACCGGGTATTGAACTCACACTCTTTGGGTCTTGTCACTGGATCTAACCAACGCCTTTATCCACTGTGCCATGTATGAATTTCTGGGTATTATAAAACTAATGTCTTCAGCAACCATTTTTACCAGTGCTCATATTGCAATTTTGCTGTTATCATTACATGTTTTTACCAGAGCTCATATTGCAACTATGTTATCATTGCTTTTCTCTGGCACTCCTTATTACTGGTTCCAATACTGTACTTATTTCTATGCTTGGTCGGCTTAGGAGATTTTTGTCGCCTAGCATATGTGCTGATTCCTTAGGTTTACGAATCATCACATATATTAGCGTTTGGTCGCTGGTTGATATTCGTAACCATCTGCATTATCTTCATCCGGGTTTATTTGCAAGTTGTCGCCATGATTTCAACTAATTAAAGTATGCTGGATTTCGATGTCAGAATTTATCCTATATGTAGGAGACAGCAACGGATCGCACATATAACTCGAATTGAAAATAATGACAGAATCAAGAATATTTTTCCACATTACTTCAAAGAAAAGTTTAGGATGGAAGCTCCCCCACCCTCAATAATGAAAAGAGTGATAACATTTAGTTAACTTTCGAAATATATTATGCTGAAATATTGTTTTAAGAAAAAGATTTTATAAATTCTAACCGATGTTGAAATTAGTAGATGTTTCCCTCTGCTACGCTTGCCTTTAGTATGCCTTGTGAGGGTCACATTTTCCGAGTCTCCTTTTCTTATGTGTCTTAAGAATTTCAGCTATTTCTATCTGATTGTGAGTCAAAGTGTTCTTTTTGTTTTATTTTCACTAAAACTTTCGCGTTCACTACATGCTCTGTCTATGGTATTCTCAACATCCTTTTGTATAAACACTTCTTTTTTCGTTTCATTTCTTCTCTTCATCTATACACTGCTATATAGGAGAGCTTATAATACATAGTTTTCGACACTCACTGGATAATATGCAAACGAATCCTTCATCTCACTGTTTGGATCTTATTTTTTTATGATGGAAAACCTGTTTCTTTTAAAGTAATTCAAAGAAGAAACTACTGAGATTTTATTATTTAAATATCTTAATTTCAAAAGGGTATTTCGAGGTATTTGGGTTTTTATTTCATCTGAAGAAGTAATTCATTTTAATTCGACATACCGGGTGTTGCGTCTGGCTAAATCCCGTTATCGAGTTGTATTAAACTGTCTAAATTATTTCCAGGTTATTATTCGGGTTCGCTGACTTTTGCATTTCTCAATCCATTTAATTCCGAAAATTAAGAGATCTCTCACTTTTTTTTTCTCGGTTGTATAAATTAACACCGGGTTTTTCTACATTTTAAACTGTTTCATGGTCACTGTCAAGACGTCTTATTCGTCAGGCACACGTCAGCCATCAACCTTTTCATGAAAGCTGCATGGCTGTAACTTGTATTTTCATTCATGTGTTGTCATAATATTATTTTGAACGATTAGTTCACGAGCCGGCGGCAGGAGTATTTTCTTTCTATTTTTTAATATCATTTCACCCCAAGTAAGGCGATTAACCCGCCAC